TGTGTGACTGATTTTTTCCCTTAGAATAAATTCTTATGAATGGAATTAGTAAAACCAAGGTCTAAATCTATTTAACATTCTTGATAGAAAAATACATGTTGATTTTTTAAAAATGCTAAACATTTTGCATTTTTACCAGCAACATGTATGTGTATTTAATCCACGACACCTTTTTCCATGGTAAGTTTAACATATAGTCTTTACTAATTTATTAGGTATAACATTTAAATCTGTTATTTTAATTTTCATAGATTATTTTTTTTCTTATTGAGTTGTTGGAATCCTTACAGTTTAGGGATACCGATACTTTGTTATATTTGTGATAGTAACTCGTTCTCCAGTTTGCTATTTAACTTTTTATGTCTCTGCGGTAAAAATTTTTAGACTGAGAGGTATTAAAATTATTTACATAGTGAAATCCATCCATCTTTTCTGTTTTCTTTCAGTGATTTTACTAAAATTACTAAGATGTAATTTTCCACTCTCTCTTTAGGTAACAATTTATATATTTTATTTTTTCTTAATCATTTCATAATTTACATTTAACCTTTAATGTAAATTTCTAATTTATCTTGATATGGTGCCTTTTTAATTTTTTTCTAAGTTGTAATTTTCTTAGTAACATTTTAAAATAATTCTTCCCTTTTCCATTAATTTCTTCTATTTCTTTTACCACATATTATGTTCTCATAAATGCCGTTTTAAGCTACATTTCTTGGCTATCTCTTCAGTTCTAGCTTTGTTCTCTTCTTTACTCTTTCTGAAGATATTTGATTCTATCATCTACATATTAAAAACTTACTGGTAATTTGATTATGAATCTATTAAACTTATAAATTAATTTATAATTTGGGCATTTTTTGCAATACTCAGCTATGTCTTCCAGAACATGGTGTACTACCACACTTTCTGAACCCAGTCTCAATTCCTTTATTAAAATAACTATTTCACACCTTCAGTCTGAGCTGACAATTTTACCCCATATCTCACTTGGAACAGAAAGTGAAGTGTAGGATCAGAAGGGGAAGGGAAGCTGAAAAAGAGTAACCCCTGTCTTCCCATCTTCAAGCCTCCCACCCGCCTGTCTGTATGTGCACATTCACATCCTGCTTTCCCCCTTTACAACTGTCTATCCAAGGCTGACCCCTCCACTAGTAATTTGGATCCCAATCTCATTCACCTACCAAAGATTTTGCTCCTGCAGCATCTCTTTAATCTCTTTCATCAGAATCTCTTTAATCATTTTCTTCCTCTCTTCTAGATCATAACCATAAGGATACAAAAATGCTCTGATTATCCCATCATAAAAATCCCTTTCCATGACTCCACTTCTCCTTCAGTTATTGACCTATTTTCTCAGCTTCTCTTCAGGGAAAGAAAAGTCTCAAAAGGTACATCTCTTGCCACTTTCTTCTCTGAAAGGCCTCATCTGTTTCCATGGACTTGTTCTTTGTTAAAGTCATCATTGATGTTTCAAATAAAGTGATCATTTCTGTACGCTCTTCCTTCAACCATTCAGCAACATTGATACTGTTGACCACTCCCTTCCTCTTGAAATTGTTTCTTCTCTTGGCTTCTAGAGACCACTCACTCTTAGTTTTCCTCCTTTCTCCCTTAACTCTATTCACCTTATTGAATCCCCTTCTCTTTCTGAATTTGGAAGTTCCCCATAGTACTAACATGAACCTCTCTTTCTTCTCATTCAATAATTTCTTTCTGAGTAATTTCATGTAGTTGCATAGGTTTAAAAGCACCTGACTGCTTCCATAAACCACAGACTCACACATCGATTACCTACTCACTGTGTCCACTAGGAATTTCAAACCTAATCCAACACATAACTCTTGATTAGTCCTCCTGCTAATCTGTTCTTCCTTTATGATTTCTCATCCAGATTAATAGCATCATCATTCACACAATTGATCAAATGAAAAACTTAAATATAAACATTTTTGTAAGTAAGTCTTGTTGGCTTCATCTATACAATACATTCCAAATATGTGCATTTCTCTTCGTCTCCCCTCAAGTATCTTAGTCCAAGTCACCATAATCCCTTGCCTGCTGCTCTACAATAGCTTCCCACTAGGTCTTTCTCTTTTCGCTCTTGCCCCACTATAATCTATTTTCTCCATAGTCTACAGATTGACCTTCATAAATACACAGTCATGCACCGCATAATGACATTTCAGTCAATGATAGACCACATATACAATGGTGGTTCCATGAGATCAGTACCATATAGCCTAGGTGTGTAGTAGGCTATACAATCTAGGTTTGTGTTAAGTACACTCTAGGATGTTTGGGCAACAACAAAATCTTTTAACAATGCATTTCTCAGAACATATCCTTGTCGTTAAGTGGCG